ATATCATCGGGTCTCCTGCCATCGCATCGTCTCTAAATATTCCACAAGGCTTTAAAACCGAGGGAACATTTATAGAGACAAGAGCCCTTTGGATGACATTGTTCGATGAACCGTGCCGTGAATTTACCAGCACTTTTCTTAGATGACAATTTCTTTTTATTACTTTTATAAATCGATTCAATAAACATACTTAAAAGTTATATTAACCAACTTTAAAGCACCGCACACTGAGGAGAGGATACCGAGACAATAGGAAACACTTCTTACTGTACTAGCTGTGTCCCTTTTTTTTACGCCCAGATGCAATGGAAAGGGCTACCCTCCGGGAAGCGAGGAAGGGAGGTGGTGAATGCTCTAAGCATACCGCAACAGCCGGTTGTCGTGGTTATATGGGGCTCACTGCGACTAACCCACTAAACACCACCTGTGAGACTGGCATTGACTTTTTTGGCCTTTCTGTCGAATCGGAAGCGACCCTCTTTAGGGAAAAGGGGGCGCATGCGGCGAAGAGCCGCTGAGAGGTGAGCCTAATTAAGGCAAATTAAGGGCGGGGAGAAGATTCGGCCTGAGCCGCCAGGAGGCGGTTTAGGTCGGCCAAAAGCTTGTTTGGAATGTCCGTTAGAGAGTTTCTCGGTCTTCGGACTCGATAGCGAGAGAGAAGTGGGGGGCTGCCTCACGAATTAAATGATTAGAGTGAGACTCTGAGGCCTTGAGGAAGTTCTCAGAGTGTTTTTAAAAATTGCTGGACTGTGGAGAGCTCTAAGTCTCGATGGAGGTCGGCGTTACGGACGTACCAGGGTGCGTTCGTAGCCCGACGACAAAAGTTGTTTTGAACTTCGTTGAGGATATTGGCGTTAGCGTGAGCAAATATGGGGCCCGCGTAAGTCATAACTCGTCGTATACAGACCTTATAAAGGGTTCGCTTGTTACGGAGGGACATTTTACTGTGTCGGCCCAGAGTACTGTCGAGCCTACTCAGATAAAATCGCGTGTCTCGGGTTACTCGCTTGACATGGGGCCCAAAAGTGAGCCTCGTGTCAAGGGTGGCACCTAAATATTTGGCGGTTATATGCCAGGGGACAGGGTTCCCTAGCATACGGATAGGCGGAATGGTAGTGAGCCGGCGTCGTTTATGATTGGAGTGAACGGCGGAGCTCTTCTCCGGGTTCACATCGATACGCCATTTCACAGTCATTCACTGACTTTTGGATCTTGTTCCATATGAAAGGTAGTGTCGTCTGCGAAGAGGGAGAGCTGAACACCTTGCGACGGGATGGGAATGTCGTTGGTGAACAGGATTTATACACCGGCTTTGATGGGACGCTGAGAAGAGAGCGAGCCTTCGTGTCTAAAACGAAAGGTACGATCCTTCGGGTAGGAGGCCACGGGACGAACAAGACGATCAGGGAAGGCCTATTTTATAGAGTTTATATATAAGGCCTTCATGCCAGACTATATCGAATGCCTTTGCTATGTCGAAAAAGACCGCGATGGTCTTATGATGACGAGGATAAAAATCGCTGAGGGTATATTTCACAATACGGTGAACTTGTGAAACCAAATTGGTGGGGTATGACAAGAGGGTCACCGTCTGTGGAAAACAGATGGAGGCTCATGCGAGTGAGTATGACGCGTTCGAAGAGTTTGCCCATGACCTTGAGGAGGCTGATGGGACGATGACTGGAAGGGAGGTTGTGAGGCTTTCCTGGCTTGGGGATACCAATGACAGTTGCCTCTTTCCACGTGATGGGAACTAAGGTTGAAGCAGGCGTTAAAGATAATAGCTTAAAGGGTTAACACCTGCTCAAGAAAATGTTTAAAGGCTTGGTTGGGGATCCCATCCGCGCCCGGAGCCCTTTTGGACTTCAGTCCCAAAAAAGCGACGAGGGATGAGATCTCATCATTGGACACAGTGATAGGGTCAAAGGCTGTGGGGGATGTGTTCTGACCTCATCCTCCACTATCTGGATGTGGGAGGGGTCGGTAGGTTGTAAACTAGAAGAACATTGAGCGGCGATGCTGTCTACAAAGCACTCAGCCTTTTTCTCGTCCTGGAAAGCAATAGTACCGTCATGACGGGGGAGATGGGGAGTGTGGGTGATAACGTCTATGCGGAATGATCTCGCCATCTGATAGTACGCTGTATGAGAGGGAGAGATATTCTCCATGAGATTACTCTTTTCGAGGTATCGAAGTTCGGAGAGGCGGGAACGGACTTCTCGTTGAAGACGATTGGCCGTACGCCTATAGTCGGGGGTGAGATAGATTGCTGCTCTCCGGAGAGGTGCTCTCTTGGCTTTCATTAGGTTGCTAATATGTAGAGGAAGACCATCATTATTAGCAACCGCGACACCCTTTCATTCTTCTTAAGGGAGGATTTAATAAGAAGCGGTTTCACCCGCATATACATACATCGCGCGTCCGAGCCGCGCAAAATGACACCACGCTTAAGGCGGCTACTCACTTACCTGCCCCAGAGGCAATCTAGGGTGTAGGACTGTTGGTTTCTCTCGATTCTCCGTGGGTAGGCGTCGATCGCGCGCCTAGCAGAGTTGGCAGAGTATTGAATTATGGTAATTTTTCATTATCTCTTAAACTACGCGTCAAAATAACATGCTATAAAGAGCAAAGTTTATCCTCATAAAATTGTCTTGATGATGAAGTAACTTTCGTTTGTAAGGATTAATATGCAATGCCTAATAATAACGCTCATTAATCACTTTTTCATTTTCAATATATTTTTGTCACAAAATACCTTATTGTAACTTATGTATAAGAAATAGATCTATGGTATTGCGGGCTTTACTTTGGATGGAGAAAAGATCTATAGTTTTGTATAACGTTGTATTTACGTATCACTAACTATTGCGCCAGCACACGTGGATATACCAGTTCTTGGTCGTTTTTTCTTCAGACTTAATTAACAAAATTCAATAAATAAGGCTAGCTGAGAGTTGTAGCTTAATGTTAAATAGCCTATAGCCTATACTATTCCTCATGAATCTGGCTACCATATGCAAAAAGCCTATGTTCAGCAGTGGACTTGTGAAGTGCTATAATGAATGAGTGAATGAAAACTAGCTGACCAGGCAGACGTAGTTTTGCACTTTCCGATGACTTTAAAATAAAAGTTAATAATAGGTTAGTTATCGGGATAAAAACTATTCCAACTCTCAAGTTGGAGCAAGCAATACATATTTACAAAGTTTCATTAAAATCTGGTGAGTAGTTACGAAGACAAGCGTGAACGAATATCGTGACACGGAATTTTTATATTTACGATACGTTCTACTTCATCAGTCTGTACAAATCCACTGCGGGATTTGGGAAACATGGGATTTATCATAATACTGTTAAAATAATCAACTATTACATGCTTTTAAAATAAATAAGTTATAAAAACGTATATTCTTGTTAGCTACGGCTATTGATAGCCCTTAGTAGAAGTAATCTATGAATAATTTTCATTTCAGACACTATCGACCTATAAAGAGCCGTGAAGTGCAAGGTTCTAGAAAAAAAATTAAATTTACAATAGAATTTGATGCTTAAATTCATGGACTTGAGTTCATTTTATAATGCTCAGATTGCGACAACAAATGTGGGGTATTTAAATAAAAAATAATCATAGCAGACAATGTAACCCTATTCGGAAATGGCAATTTACCGAGTCAGGAAATTAAATGACACGATCTCTCTAAAACAAATGTTGTTCTGTCACAGAATGTGTTAGTTATAATTTGCGATGTTCTAAGTTGTTTATATGAAACCATTTGAGAAATGTAATTTTTACATAAATATAAATGTGAAAATGATTGATTGAGGACGTGATTCTTATATTACGTATTAGTTTTCAAAAATGAATGCAAAGTGATATTGTGTACAGTGAACTTGTGATGATGATGATAATGGTGATGACGGTGAATATGGAAATGGTATAAAAGTCATATAAGCAAACAATCGTTAAATCAAAATATTAATGTATAATATAATCTACAATATAATCAAAAAGTATGATATTTAATTTTAATCAAATATGATCCAACCATGGGATGATATCAATCATCTACAAATCATATTCATGTGTTATTTTAAAATCTGTACAATGCAAATATATTATATAATCTCTTTTATAATCAGTACAATGCAAATAATTGAATAAAAAAGTTTCTGTTTCTGTTTCAATCATTAATTAATTAAATAAATTTCATATAATCATTTTAAGAGAAATGAAATGACTAGAAAAATCCAACCTTATCCAAAAATAAAATGGAATTAAATTTAATATACTAGAATTTTAATAGGAAAATACCCGAAGCAAAAGTACTACAAAGCTCTTATTAAATATTCAAAGCGATTGTTGTAAATTATTTTATGTTATAGCTATCAAAATATACGGTACGGTAAAATCAATCGATACGAAACAATTTGTGTGTAAAGATAATTTAAGTAGGTAAGTGGTAAATGTATTAAACAATTTAATTTTGTGACAGATAACCGTCGACAAATAGAATACTAAAGGGCGATAAACGCTAATGCCATATTGAAAAAAGTAATATGAATAATATGTTTAATGAGTACAACATACAATTTCAACTGATAAGCCAGAAAAAACACTTTCAAATATATAATTAAATGGACGTCTTATAATATACCGAAATCATTTCAAATACTGAATAGTGTGTCAAGGTTCGGCTAAATATTGGTGCTATCATTGATGTGTGCATTTCTGTACTAACAGTAGCAACTACAGCGCACTCGACCTGTACGCCCCAACTGAAATCCCGCACATGCGCAAAGGGTAGTGGCCGAGTTCTGTAAATGAAGGCCTGACGTAGCACAAATTCTCTGCGTACTTAGAATAATGGTTAATAAATAAAAAAGGAGCAATTATTGAAAATCAATCGCGAGAATATTGACAAAATATTAGTGTTCGTAAATTGGGACGCCCGCACGCACGAGGCTCTGTCAAAACAAAACGGCGCTTCTGCAATGTAAACATGAACGAACGTAAGATCTTGTTTTTTATTCTCTCTGTAGTCTTTTACTGTATTTACAGTGTTAACATGTGGTTTATGACAAGCAATAATAATGGGGTAACCTCAGACAACAGTGAGAAAAGAGCCAAGTTTGAGCCCGAAATAATCGTAAACAAAACTGAAACAAAACCATTAAGAAAGGCGAAGATTATTCCGTTGTTTCTGAAAGACGCATGTAGTGTTTTACAAATATTCACGGAAAGGCCCGAAATAAAACATACCAAACCTAAAGAAGAAAAAATGGAACCTGAGAACAATACTATTACAGTAATAGGAATTACAGCTTTCCTTATCATTTTAACTTTAAACGCTGTACTCGATGTACTTAAAGTGAAAGAAGAAGAAAGAGCGAGAAGAAAACTTAATCCTGACGGAGAGAGAAGACATTCTTTGGCAGAATTTGCCAATAAGAAGATGTTAAGGAGAGAATCCAGCAAATTCAGCCTCCAGCTATTTCAAATAGCAGAAACTGTACCTACAAACATAAACGAAGATAAAAACAGCCGTCGCGAAAGCAGGCCATACATGAGAGGTGAATCAATCAACTCGTACTTGAATGATAAAAAGACCCAAGGAGAATGCTCAGCGCCGGCATCCATCAGTGATTCGCCAGTTTCTGAATCTAAGCTCGTCAAAAGACAGTCAGTTGCAAAGCTTTTTGGTACGTAAGTCAACCTTCTTTATTCTAATCTCTTTTCATTTTGTGGAAGCACTTTATATGTGCGCAAAAGTTATGCAATAATTGTTTTATTTTTTTACGGAATTTATTGTATGGATTAATTGGTTGTGGATGTAAATGTTGTTTATCTGGACTACCTTCTCTATCATTGATTTCATTTTTCTGTTCCTTTATCAAGGTCTTTCTGATGGTTGAAAGACTTTCAGGTAAAAACTTTATTTACACTTGTAGTTACAACATGCACGAAAACTGATAATGCGCTTGCTTTCGAGTTTTGCATATGCAGAATGCTTGACGTTATGTATATAATATCGTGTCATCATGTCATGTCCTAATAATAATTACCCATTTATATAATATTTATGAACATTAAGTAATTTGTGTTCATGTTCTATAATAATCGATTTTAATTCAAATACATCCTACATGTTTACACATTTGAATACATTAAAAGTTCTTTAAATTAAAATACTGCTCGTAAATAATTTTATAATATAGTTGAAAAATTAAATAAAAAATGAGTATGCTAATTAATTATATTCGAATGCGAATTTTTTTTATTGTAATTATCAAGGAAGTACATGCTCAAAGTTCTAAATTTTGCGTCATCTTAATAAATTATAATATCATTGTGACAAAACATTTTAATCACAAACAGGCAGCGCATTGAAAGCTTTATAAATGAAGGATAGTTAACTAATTAATTTCTCATTTCATCCGATAACAATTTATAAATACAGTGCTTATTTATAATTCAATTTGCGCTTATTTTAATTTAAATTAAAGGTTCAATTTATTCCGCTTGTGTATATTGAGTATCGTAGTTTGTTTTATTTTTATATATAAAAATTACGTTTCACATTGTTTGTCCGCGATGAACTCCTAAACTACTCAACTGATTGCAATGAAATTTTGCACACTGTGTGCAGTTTGGTCCACTTGAGAGATAGGATAGTTTTTATCCCTATAAGTGAACCTCAATGTTTTTTATTACGAATTTAAGAATTTTTATACGACACAGGGTGGTCGGAGAGGGCAGAACAACGTCTGCCTGGCCAGCTAGTTATTTTATATTTCATTTTATGTACAACAAAATATAAAAGAAATTATTTTCAAATCTGTTTGAATTTTGTTCTTTTGAAGTTAATAATAATTTTTAATAATTTGTATTAGATTAGGCTTAGGCAATGGAATAGTTAATCCAGAAAAAGTATAATAAGTTATTAATTTTTCGACACACTATGTCTTAGCACCGACGTACATAGACTTTTTGGTTTTAAATTGTTTAACTTTTTTTAAATAGTAATTATGTTATCCTTTTGTGTGGACTAAGAAGTTTAACAAGTAACAAATAGAACGTGGTCTAAATAGTTCATACTTAAATAGTTACATTAAAATCTTTATCCCCTATTTTTCATTCTTAGGTGTGGAATCTTTTAATTGTATTTATACTAGCGATCTGCCCGACAATAGCGCAACCTAAACAAATGTGAATCTAATGATCTAAACTATCTACGAACTTTATTCACTATAATTCAAACACACACACAAAAAAATCATCAAAATCCGTTACATAGTTTAAAAGATCTAAGCGTACAGACGGCGGGAAACGACTTTGTTTTATACTATGTAGAGATGAGTCCACCTCTGATTTACCTATTTAATAAAGAACTGTCGCTAAAATCTGTTCAGGTTTTTCTGTGAAAACCGTGAACATACATAAAAAAACGTAAGCGTTGTAGTAGTAACTTCTCGTTTTTGGAACTCGGTTAATTATTCGAGCATAAAAAGCAATCATTAAGTTTTTCTAACAAGAAATTCTCAGTAGCATCTCGATGCCAGGAAGTTGCCGGTATTTTACCCGGTCTGTGAAAACACGTAAAGCGGTTGATCCTGCGTTTGATTTCTCGCCCGTCATATCGGATTGCCGTGTCGTGGTTGTGAGAGTGAGGAAATAGAAAATGTACAAGAGCATGCGCATACATTCGTCCACTATAATCCTGTCCTTCCAGAGTCTTCAAAGTCTCTCTGTTGAGACTGGCCGCCGTGACCAAAATTCAGTCTGGGAGACATAATTATTATTTCTATTATTTTTGTTTTGTTATTAGGAAAATTCTGTTGCCCATTTGTTATTTCATTTTCCTTTTTTTTTCTTTTTTTTTATAGATTAAGGGTAACAAACTAACACACAGTCCACTTAATGGTAAGTGGTTTTCGTGGCCCATAGACATCTACATCTATCCTCGACTATGAATCAAAATGCAGATACGTTGTAACCCGTGAGGACTAAGATTGAATGCCTCGTTTCTAGCAAAAGGGGTCTCCGGTGCTCTACACTCACCATACGAAACACAGCAGCGTTAAGCTGCTATTTTACGCTGGTATTCTGTGAAGCGTGGCCCTTCCCCGGTCGAGCCGACCCATTCATGCTACAACTACACTACTAATATAGCTGCAGCATGACTCTAACACGAATAAGTAGAGTTCCTCTGTCACTTTTTACGATAACCACGAGATAGTATGAGTTAAAGGATTTTCTTACCGATTAATAAAAATACCTATGTTCTGTTTAAACATTTTGTCCATTAAGTACCTTGTCAGACGTTTTGGTAAACCCAAAACAAACAGGTCATTTATCTTACAGATGGATAGGCATTGTAAGAATATTGTCAATACATTACTCACTTCATTAATCATCAGTATATAGACTCCCCAAATGGCTAATCAAAGGTTTCTCATGTACCTGCGCCATTATGTACTCTGCATTTACTATTGGGCCTTAATTCGGTCTAATGACAAACCGACGTTCGTATATTCAGTTCCCGTTTAATTTTCTTTACTTTTTATTAATCTGTCTACTAGAATGACTCTTAAACTAGGTGTAAATGCTAAAATATTTATCATTATTACAACCCACCTCAAGTCCATTGCAGAATATTGGCTGACCCCAAAAACTACCACTAAACACGATCCTGAACCACCTGAATCCATCAAATTCCTACAACCATCGATTTTTCACATGTCTTTCCAGATTATTGTATCATCTAGGAAGAAGCTACTGTACATTTGCTTACCGGTACCGGACTGTTTCTTTGTTAACGAGTAAGATGGGATTAGTATGTAATCTCTTCACATGATTTATTCACGAAACTATACAAATAAATAAAATTAAAGTGTCTGTTTGTAATGTAAAAATTACAGCTTTTTACTAAATGCATATAAAGGTATATACTTACGGTAATAATGACGAAAATACAATTTTTAAAGTTTTTGTCTGTCTGTCTGTTTGTTCCGGCTAATCTCCGAAACGGCTGGACCGATTTTGACGGGATTTTCACTGGCAGATAACTGATGTCACAAGGAGTAACTTAGGCTACTTTTATTTTAGAAAAATAATTGGGGTTCCGCGCAAAAAAAAATCCCCAAATAACACTCGGGCGAAGTCGCGGGGAACAGCTAGTAGCTATATATATATATATATATATATATATGTGTGTGTGTGTGCCTCTGCTTTAGACAGGCTTCTTCCCATTTCTGAGTGATTTTTTTTTTACCTTTACCACCGATCACGTTAAAACAGCATGCGATCAACATTTCTTACAGAGATCAACGGTTTCCTTTTTATTATATTACTGTCGTTCCGCCCCGGCTTCGCACGAGTGATTTCTGGATCTCGACAACAGGGCCCCTACCAGGCCCAATTGTGAATCTAAGCCACCCACTCAAACAAAAAACACACAAAAAATAGATTATACTTCAGGAGCGTTCCCACATAATTTTGAAGACCTTACCGTAATATGTTTAGCTTCTTCTTATATTTAAAACAATATTTAAAACAAAACATAATGATTTCTTATATTTACGCGAACACTACACATTTAAATAAAACTAATTTTACGGATTCTATCGCGTATATTAACTTATTTTATATTCCAAAAACAAAAATTAATAATTTTTAATCTGGAGGTAGCCGTGGTTAACTACGACATTGGGACGTCATACTCCTCAGTCCCCCCCCCCCCCCCCCGTGACCATGGGTGCTGGAAAGTGCTCGAAACGTCGGGAATATAAAATAAGTTAATATACGCGATAAAATCCATAAAATTAGTTTTATTTAAATACTAAAACATAATCAAGCATCGTGTGGTTAATTTCGACTAATAGTTATTAAGTCATTATATATACTATATTTATTTTTTTACGAATACACTAATCTCACAAATTCCTAATTCACAGATATATTAAACTAGACTCATTTCATTATTATTATATTTACATTCATTTACATTATTATATTTACATAACTAACACTACATAATAACAATTTATTATTAGCTTTACTATGTAGTATGTGTTATTTGTTAAATAATTCACTCATTAAATCCTGGGATTCTACTACTGAATGTAGGCGCACTACATATAGATTAATTGCCTCATAAAAAGGAGATTTGCCATACTTCCTATCCTTAGCGGGCGGGTTGGCAACCGTAGCTTTTTTTTATTATTTTGAATTATTATCATTAAATGCTACTGCTCCTCATCTGTTTTTTTTCCTTTCTTTCTCCTTTCGTTTCCTTTTGTTCCTCTTACGGTACCCACGACATGATATGGGGAGTGAATTATCTTTCGTCACTATTACACAAGCACGGCTTTTATGAATAGATGCATGTAAACTAATCATGTTTGCAAGCTTGTTCAATAAAAAGTCCCGCTGTTTTTTTTGCCGGTTCTTCCTATGACAGAGGTCTTTTACGAATTATAAATAAGTATTATTTATCTTCACATATAAAAATTACGTGTCACGTTGTTTGTCCGCGATGGACTCCTAAACTATTGAACTGATTTCAATGAAATTTTGCACACTGTGTGTATTTTGGTCCAACTTGAGAGATAGGATAGTTTTTATCCCGATAAATGACCCTCAAAATTTTTTATTGCGAATTTAAGGATTTTTATAGGAAGGGTCGTTGGAAAGGGCAGAACAACATCTACCTGGCGATCTAGTAATGTATATGGAATGAAAATAGTATGTAAATTTTTCTATCTCTATACCTAATGGATTTTGCAGACATACTCGATGACAACACAATAATTTTATAACTATGACCTTAATGATTCTCCCTAGGGTCATCCAAACTCATGATTTGCTTACGAATGCTTGTTGTTTAAGTTTTTTTTTTAACTTTCATATTGTTATTTATTTTAAATTCCCGAAGGTTTCAAATAATTTGCAGGCATGATCACGGGAGGACTGAAGAAACGTCCCGTTAACATTTTTGATCCGTCTACCTTCAAAAAGTCTGGAAGTTTAAAATAAATTAAGATAAAAAGCGATCAAAACTTTAGAAGTAGTTTTATTCATTTTGTAGTATTCACGTAAGTATGTTTAAGGTAACACTAGGTATATTATGCGTGCTGATTTGCGACTATCACAATCTGTATTTCCAAAGACACATCACTCCATCACCTTTAATTAGGATATTTGGTGGATAACTTTAACAAGCTAAAGTAATAAATCATGTTTCCAGGTGCTCGACCAGCTCCTATGGTGAGGCGATCGTCTTTTCCAGCACTTCCTTTGAATCCTGATATCCAAGCAATAATGCTAGGTCACAGACAAGCCTCCTTCGACAGTGACGATGAGAGTGATGGAAAAGGACGTCGTGTTAGAATTATACGTAGATATTAAGTTGCACTTTGACTAACCAAAACTTGCATGGATATTGACGAATTAATGTAATATTATTAAATTAATTAATAGTAGTTAAATACAAAAAGTGCATATTTCTTCAACGACAAAACGATTTTTGAAAACAAAAATGTGATATTATGTTTAGTTGTCAGTTATTTACAAATATTAACATTTATCTTTATTATATGTTTAACAGAAATGTAGCGTTGGCGACTTGCCTCGGCAAGAAACATATCTTTTTTTAATATTTATTACAAGTATCATATTAACTTGCTTTCTTTGTAAGTCTTTTGGAGCACTTACTGACAGCCGATTGAACTGAAATTTGGCATACTTATGTAACTTCGGTGACAATGCAATAATATATTACCATGGAGGTGATGCGGTCGAACCGGATGCAGGCCCTAGCAACGCTTATAAAAGCTTGTTTTTAAATAGATTCTTTTCTTAAGTTTAGATATGCAATTTAATTAAAAAGTTCATCCATTACAACCTATAAAAGTCAACTGGTATACATTGGCCTTTTTGGGATTTTGCCATAGTTGTTTACAACAGCTACCGCAGTTTTTTTATAATTTGGGTTATTATCGCGAATTATTATATAATATATTAATATTGCTACCCATCTCCTGTTTTAGTTTCCCTCTATCGACGGACGATATGGGGTAGTGGATAATAAACGCAATGCGTTGGACGGCCATAATCTGAACAGACCTTAATATCGCAGTTATTGGGTTGTTCGGAAAATAATTTCGTATTTTTTGGTGTAAATGTAAGACAACTTTCTTATAATGCAAAGTTATTGACATCTTTCATCGTCACGCTCATAAAACTTCTGATCTTTGATGGCAAAAAAACTGATCCAAGTTATTTTTTACGTCCTCACTTTTAAGTAAATGTTTTGACATTTTAAAAAATTGTAGAGACTAGAACAAAGTTGTAGACGAAATGATTCTAAGATAATTTTCTCGACGTTTGAAAAGCAAATCGCGGAGTTGGATGAGACGGGGCAAATTTTTTTGTGTAAGATCACGAAGAACCCTTATTATGTCGAGTTTTGAAAATAATACAAGGCGTTTGAAGTGATCTTGAACTGTCGTTCGATAAATTGAATCTCTCAGCGATCTTTTGATTTGTTATTCAACGGTTTTCATCAATAAATGCCTTTATTTTGTATTCATCAACTTAAACTAGACAAACGAAATTGCGCAAAATTTTGGCACTGGCGTCTTGTCAATACATGTTTTTATTATTTATCGAATATTTTTGTTCTTGCGTGAACGGCATTTTTACCTTTTCGATAATAAAAGAGTAAAATATGCCTAAATTGCTGCTTTTGACTTTCCATATTTGAAAGCGCAAAATCAAATAAACCTGCGCTAAGCCTTGTTAACATAAAATGACATAAGTCACAGAGTACAACAGCAGTTTGAAGTTGGCTATGAATAATAAATATACAATTAGGTAAATCCTCTGTTTGGAAAATAACGAAATTATTTTTCAAATCACCTAACATTTGGGCTATCGCGCTCCATACAAATTAAATTTAAACCTATTTTGAATTTAGGCCAATCAAATACCATGAAATTTAATAGATACGATTTAAGAAAATAATATGTAATAATAGTTTGACAGATTTTAATTACATTTCGTTATTTTTTGTAGTATAAAATGTCTTAAAATCAGTTAGATATTTCATATTTTTAAAATTAACAAAATCATTTACATTATTATAATCAATCACTTAGATTATTTGGTCGATGTATTACCCACTTTTATATTAATTTCAAATATAATCTTTTATAAATCTAGGTAATCGGCTCATATTACTCCTGTATGTCTGACACCCGTTCGTAAATATTACTAAATGGTAAATATTACAAACGTTAAATATTATGATAATATGGTACAGAAAAATTTATCATAAACAACATTTGAGGGATGAAAATTATTATGCGTTCATTGTAATGAACGCTCAGCTAAAGTAACTCGTTAAGCTCTTTACGGTATGCATAGAGCTATAACATAAATTACACAAATGTCAAGCTAGTAGTTTGTTGTGTTGGTTGCTGCATTTTAACAGGTTATTAGAACTAAATTCTAGCTTTGCCCGTTCTACACTTAGTCAGCGAATTGCGCGCGAAGGCGCGAAAAGGCGCAAACATTTTGTAAACGCATTAAGTGGAGCCGGTGCATTGTTTTCCCCGATTTTTGTCATTTTTTTTAATGATAATGAATGAACAATAAATTCCTCTTTATTTTGTGAAAATAAATACTAATAATTCTTTGACTGAATACAAAAAAATGACAGCCAACATTTTTAAAGGCACGCTTGTATTAAATGCAACGGTTGTTGCCAAAAAAAAAATGATTTTCGACAAAAAAATTCCTTGGTTTTTAACCTACATTACCTCTATTATTTGACACAAAACAACAATGGCTAGTTTTCGAACGCTTAATGTCTAATTTAAAAGTCTAAAAATTGCAACAGTCAATGCTTAAAGTTGGTGGCAAAAACATTGATTAAATTCATGAAATACGTAACAATGTTTTTTCACAAAAAATATTTAGCCAACAGCTATAAAACATTCCTTTAGCAAGACTTTTGAAGAAAAAGAAATACATCCTAAAATTAAAAAAAAAAATCCTTGCTTCACAAAGAAATTTAACACCGTTAACATCTTATTTAAAAAAGGAAAATAATTAACTATAATTTTTTAATTAAGTCATTAACACAATCACGTTGATACAAGCTCACATGAATGAGGCAAACTACATACAAAATGAAAATATTTTATGTTTTATTAGATAAAATCATGAAGAGCTGCCACATACATAATACTAAATTTCATTTAGATTTAAAAACTTCATTAGCAATATTGCATATTTAAAAATAATTTGGTAATATTCGTTGTCAAAATATATTTCTGAAACCTAAAGGTAGTATGTGAAAGCCCTAGTGTATCGCCCATCACCATTTGACGAACATAATATTAGGTGTTGCCTGAATGACGAAATTGATAACATTTATACTAAAAATATACTAAATATTAGATGTTACAAAATTGGATACATAGTTTTTCATTAATATACATAAAAAGAATACTATTCAATTAAACCAATATGGTAAACAAACATTTGCTGCAATTTCATGGTCTCGTATTAAAGTTAAAAAAATATTATTCTTACCGTACTCGACCAGTCATTGTATTTACCTCAAAGCTGTTATTATTATGAAAGCGGATGCAAAAAATTTTTTTGTACTTTTGTTTCCCGTCCTGATATTCAAAGTTTATTAATTGGTTTTGTTCACTGCATCAGCTACCAGGTGACCGACTGCAGCACTTAATTGACATCAAAAAAAACTAATCGTCGTACAGCTCGTCAATATTTTGTTAAGGCTTTGAGTTTCTTATCAATCTGCTTGTTTACATCATTAATATTTTTCAAGGAGTCAGAAGTGGCGATGTCGTCGATATTATTGTGGTGTTTCTGGATATATGGACGGATGATGAGGTTGTAAATTATCAATGAACCTTTGTAGTCAAATGCCAAGTAGCATTATATGATGAAGATGCACTTTATTTACGAGTAATGCGGAAACCAGCACGCAATGAAGTCGGAGAAGTACTCGAAGTTTTTTGACGCACGTCAAAACATCGCGAATATTGAACTTAGCGCGAAATTACACTGGCAAAGGGTATCTATAGCTATAAATCACTACGCATAAGTAATTATTATATATTATCTACCATAGACGTGTACGTCCATGATATCTACGTTTAAACCAAGGTTTAAACAATTGTTTGTTTCTTTATACGTCGGTCAGTTTAGAAGTCGCATAAGAACATTAAGCAAGCACAGGGCACTGTGAAACCATTCGAAACCGACTATGCGTACCGTACACACACACACCTGTCTTTTGAGTATTGATCATGAAATTAACGGCTTCCAACGTCTATAACTCGATACCATAGAATTATCATCCAGAAGAATCATTCTCATAGAATTATCACACCATATATATCTAATAATTCTATGCGGGATACATTTAAATGCCTATCGAATCTATTCAATTGTACTAGTTTTATATTTTATTCTAAATAAAAGTAAATAACTTATTATAATTCAACATAATCAAATATTGAAATCTACGAATTAAAGTTTCCATTTGTAGATAGTATTACGAAATGTTTAATACGATATGATTTTTTTAATTTTATTACCTTTTCAAATTTTCTCTCTGTAATCACATGAGTTAAGAAATTGTTACTCATGTGCTGTAGTCGACTAATACTTAAAGTGACCATACGTCCCGTTTTGAACGGGACTGTCCCTTTTCTCGATTACTTGTCCCGTTGTCGCCAAACAAAGTCTCTGGACGCAAAATAGTCCCATTTGTCGAAATAGCGTGAAAATTTAAAACTTTTGTCAGACACGAACGGTGCGAGAGCGGGACTGACCAAAAAATTACCGAATGGAATAATTTAAAAGTTTCAAACACTTTCGCACCAAAAATCTTCTACATATTTTTTTTCCATTTTAATCGAATATATTTTATATCTACCTGGTACAAATGCTCCACTAGAAAGAGTATTTTTCTATAATAAATAAATTGTGGACGTCTAAAAAAATCACTTACAGGTTCCAGTTCTAAAGGCGATGTTGATAGCCAAATGAAAAAAATACATGCCCACAATTTTATTCTTATTTAAAATTATCACCAACTTTATAAAAGCAAATTTGTTCCTCTAACAAATATAAATATAATAAAAAAAATAATTTTGCATTTAATAATTACTTTCTGAGGAGCTTTGCTTTAATGAAGTTGGAGAACTGGGGATTGATTTTTACTTTTCACAATTTGTTATAATAAAAATAATTATAATTAATGAAAAATTATGATAACAATAGGGTATTACACCTATTTTCAAAAAGTGTTTAAATGAATTCTAGAGTGAAAATAAACCACTATAATTTTTATATAATTTTTTAAA